CCTCCCTTCCTCCCCCCCTACAGGTGTATTCGCCATGGTCGGAGGTCTCGTCTACTGTATACGTATCCTAAAAGGCTCCCAGGTCCAGCTGGGTTTCTCCCCTTGGATAACCTTCCCAGGGTTCCTGTTACTAGGTACGTGATGACGTCATGGAATGGATCATCATCATCATCATCATCATCATCATCATCATCATCATCATCATCATCATCATCATCATCATCATCATCATCATCATCATCCTGAGTGTAGACAACTTGAAGTTAAAAAAAAAATATATTGATGGAGACTGTTAAATTTCAAAATTTATGATAGCCTCATTTATAATAATCAGAATGTATCATCATTATCATCATTCCAGTTTCACTATGGTCGAGTAAGCACGCAACCTTTCTCTCCTTGCCCTTCATTGAGTGCACAGGCTCAAATGTATCAAATGTATCAAATGTATGAAGAAAGTCGCCATTGTGAAGAGGAAAACACCCGTCTCGCTATAGCCGAGTGCGTGCGGGTACCATTTCCTTGTGCACTCCATCCGGCTCCGGCCGTATGCTCCATAGTAAACTGTAAATACGTCAGAGTGTACGAGATGTAGGTTATTATTATACACGTTTTTAGTTTATTTATCTAAATGTAAAGGTAGGTTTGGACAATAGTCACTAAGAGGAAATCATTTGCTGACACGGATTAGGAGAGGCAAATGACAACATAGAAAGGTTCCAAAACTTCTGTACATTCACCAATCTGGTCATTGGAGGAACAATCTTCCCACATAAAAGGATTCACAAAGCCACTTGGGTCTCCCCGGACGAACAACGGAAAACCAGATTGATAGTTTTTGCCGCTCCCGAAAGTTTAGACGCTCACTGGAGGACGTTCGAGTCTTACGAGGAGCAGACCTTGCATCAGACCACCATTTGATCCTTGGAAAGATGAAACTGAAACTGAGAAGATATGCACAAGTCACAACTGAAAGTCGACAAAAGTATGAAGGAAGTGAGCCTTCTGGAGTACCCAGTAAAGAAAAATGAGATCAAGTTGGAACTGAAGAACAGATTTCAAGCCCTTCAAGATCTGGATGAATGTGAAGTCAACGAACATTGGGACAAGATAAGAGAGGCAATAAATGCAACTTGCCAGAGCATCCTAGGACCCAAAGACAACACCAGGAATGAATGGATTTCTCAGGACTCTCTAGACAAAGTCAAAAGAAAAAGAGAGCTGAAGTCCCAAGTCAACGACCGCGTACCCGAACGGAGAAACTCGTGACACAACAAGAGTACACCGAAATAAACCGGGAGGTAAAGAATTTTATCAAGAAGGACAAGAATACCTACCTGAATGGCCTGGCCAAAAATGCAGAGAAAGCAGCAAAAGATGGGCACTTGCGGATTGTACACCAGACTACAAGAACCCTTTCAGGTAGGTTCAGCAATCTCACTCTACCAGTGAAAGACAAAGAGGGAAAGACTATCTTCAACCCAGAGGGGCAACTTAACCGATGGAGAGAATACTTCGATCAACTCTTGAACAGACCACCTCCAGAAAACCAACCAGAAATTCTTCCAGCCAGAAATGACCTCCCAATAGTTACGGAACCACCTTCAAGAGAGGAAATTGCACCCGCTATAAAAAAAAAACACTGAAGTCCCACAAGGCAGCTGGTCCCGACCATAAACCACCGGAAGCCCTTAAGGCAGAAAAAGATACGTTAGTGGAAATTCTCTATACTCAGGTTCGGCAAAAAGAGGAAATACCATCAGACTGGAAGGAAGGCCACCTAATCAAGCTGCCAAAGAAGGGAGACCTCAGCAATTGTAACAACTACAGAGGCGTTACACTACTCCTGTCCATACCTGGAAAAGTCTTTAACAGGATTCTCCTGGAGAGAATCAAGCTGGCAACAGACGAGAAGCTCCGAGGAAAACAGGCAGGATTCCGCAAAAACCGATCATGTGTGGATCATATCGCTATTCTGGGCATCGTTGTTGAACAATCGCTTGAATGGAATTCACCACTCGTGGTCAACTTCATTGATTATGAAAAGGCATTTGACAGCGTGGACAGGGAAAGTCTGTGGAAACTCATGCGGCATTTTGGAATACCCGACAAAAGCGTCAAGCTTGTGAAGGCCACCTGTGATGCCAAGTCTTCCACGAAGGACAACTCTCAGAACCATTCCAGGTACAGACATGAGTGTGACAAGGAGGCTTGCTTTCACCTTTTCTTTTCATACTGGCAATTGACTGGGTCATGAAAGAAGCCACCAGAGGCAAACGTACTGGAATACAATGGATCCCTTGGCAGCAGCTGGACGACTTGGACTTTGCCAATGACCTTGCACTGCTCTCTCACACACACACATGCTTAGATGCAAGAAAAGACCAAGGAACTCAACAGCCTATCATGGAGTGTTGGCCTACGTATACATCCAGGCAAGTCAAAAGTAGTGAAGCTAGGGAAAGTTTCAAGCCCTGCTGTGACAGTGGAAGACACTCCCCTGGAAGAAGTGGACTCCTTTACCTACCTTGGAAGTGTCATCGATGGTAAAGGTGGAACCGAGGCAGATGTTAAAGAAAGGACCGCCAAGGCAAGGTCAGAATTCAAGCAATTATCAAAAGTCTGGAAAGCAAGCAACATCTCACGGTGCACCAAGATTCGACTCTTTAACTCAAACGTCAAGTCTGTGCTCCTCTACGGCAGCGAAACGTGGAAGACATCAAAGACAGTACTGAGTAAAGTACATACTTTCATCGACAGATACATGAGGAGTATTCTAAGAATTAAGTGGCAGGACAGAATAAGAAATGAATAGCTGTGGGAAAGGAAAGGACAAAAGGATATAGAAGTAAAAAAAGGACTAAGAAAGTGGCGATGGATGTGACACACCTTAAGAAAGCCCAGCGGAAATATCACAAGACAGTTACTGCAGTGGAACCCACAAGGAGCACGAGGCAGGGGTAGGCCACTGGAAACATGGAGTAGATGCGTGGAAAAGGACATGGGAGAGATGAAGCTCACTTGGAACGAGCTTGGAAGGATGGCTCAGGACAGAGATAAATGGAAGGAGCTTGTATGTGGCCTATACCCTGCCAGGGGTGAAAGACATTGATGATGAAGATGGTGATAGTTTATGCACGATAAAAAACCTTATGCCCTTTCATGTGGGTGGTTAGAGGATCCCACTGGTAGATTCGTATTCTTTTATCTCCATATCTGGTTTCTGCCAGTCTAACTCTTTCATCCCACTGAGCCGCCGCTCTTACATCATTTTGTTTCTTGCTTCTCAAACTTTTAGTTTTCGTTATTTTTTTCATTCTCAGCCATGGGAGCATCAATGGTCAGTTTCAGTTCAAGGACAGTCTTCTTCCCGGTGGACACCATAGGCGACGAAAAGGACCCGGATCTATCGGATTCTCCGACGGGCGAGTTGCCCGGATCTACAGCCTCCATAGAAATGAAAAGAGTTGAGGACAATAGCAATAAGAAACCGGATAGGGACACGGGAACCAGCTCTGCTAAAAACTGACAGGTGTAGAAAAAAATCGGAAAAATCAAACTATTCGATATATGACAGTCTGATGACAGATTTAACTTTTAACATAACTCACACTAATCCATTCTTTTATCCTTTCTTCTGGGGCTCAAGAAGACATTAATTTCTGAGTTTATTGATTAGGAAAAAATAAAGGTCTTTGTACGGGAAAACAAGGAGGGTTGTCCACCTTGCGACTCAGTAGAGCAGAGCAAGATACGGCCGTCATTTATAGATGTATATTCACAACTTGGTGTATTCAGAAAAGCAAGTACATGTACATGTTTGTTGATAATGTTGTTACTAGTCATCAAAAAAGAAAAAAAAAAACAAAACATCCTTAAACGACCATTGCCCTATTATACAAAAACCCTTATCGTAGAAAAACAGGAACAAAAGGGGAAAATCTCCCCAAAATGCTGCCCACGAAATAACAAAAAAGACAGAAGCAACGAACAATATTGTAATTCAACGTTTTTCTAACCTAATGGCGTTTTTTACTTAAGATTACTCAAAGGAAAAATCACTGAAAGGAAAAGAAATACGAAAAATGGTTTAATACGTAGATCTAGCTCTTCGCCCAATAAATGATATTTCATCTTTCTGCGGAACAGATTCTTGTAAAATTATTTTCCTCGAAGGGTACCTTCAGCCAGTTGCAAAAAGGAAAGAAAATATGATAATAAACATTAAGATGTAGCTTGCATTTAACCGGTTCTCACCTTGGCAGGAAATAAGACGACAACGGAGAGAAGATGGGAGGTTAAGCTGGTTCTGTAGAGGAGGACAACAGATAAAATGGATGAGAAAAAAACGGGGGATGGAGAGGAAGAGAAAGAGGATGAAGACAAAAAACAAACAAGAGAAGGAGAAGGGAGGGGGCGACGGAGGAACAATTGGGGGAGGGGAAGGATGAGTAGGAGGAGGGGAAGG